ACCTGAGCCACCCTAACTAGAAGCTTTATCAAAAAGGAACTACTACTAGAACCTCTGACACCAGGAGATCACTACTAGAACCTACGACACCAGGACATCACTACTAGAACCTACGACACCAGGACATCACTACTAGAACCTACGATACCAGGAGATCACTACTAGAACCTACGATACCAGGAGATCACTACTAGAACCCCTGACACCAGGAGATCACTACCAGAACCTACGACACCAGGAGATCACTACCAGAACCTACGACACCAGGAGATCACTACCAGAATCGTTGACACCAAGAAATCACCAATAGAACCTCTGACACCAGGAGATCACTACTAGAATCGGTGACACCAAGAGATCACTACTAGAACCCCTGACATTAGGAGATCACTACTAGAACCCCTGACACCAGCAGATCACTACCAGAACCTACGACACCAGGAGATGACTGTTCGAGCCTCTGACACCAGGAGATCACTACCAGAATCTCTCACACCAGGAGATCAGTACCAGAATCGGTGACAACAGGAGATCACTACTAGAACCCCTGACACCTGGATATCACTACTAGAACCCCTGACACCTGGATATCACTACTAGAACCTCTGACACCTGGAGATCACTTCCTGAGTTTTTCCATATCTTGGTTCCGTGTTCCATAGTTCCTCCCATTAACCTGCTCTATTAGCCGCTACAGCTAGCCCCCAGGTAGCGTCGCTCTGATCCAGTCAGGAACAGAACCAGGATGTTCTAAAGCAGTAGAACCTCATTTATGGATGAAATAAAAGCAGATTTCTGATGAAATGTGTTTCCTGTCTGAGTGTGAATCCGTTAGCAGTGTGTAGCATAGCGCTAACAGGTGGAACATGCTGCTAACCTGACCAGCTCAGGATCACCAGCATCTATGCTGAAACATCTCAACCATTAGAGGCCAATAAAAGAGGGACCATGTGACTCTGAGCTGATGGAGCAGGTAGAGGTCAAAGGTTAAAACACTAGCATAGCCTATCAAGCTAAACTAGCCTCAAACATTAGCTTAATGCTAAAATGCTAGTTTAGATAATCTCCCTGGAAACTGTTATGATTGATTTTATGATTTAATTCAAGTTTTCTGTTCAGGAAAATCTGGATTTTGTTTCTCCTGAAAGTGTTTCTCAGGTTTGGATTGTTCACTAGTGATGGGTCCAGATGTGGGCGTAGATTCTAAAAATAGATTGGTTGTTTTTCCAACCAATCTAGATGGTTAAAACTATTTTAGATTAAACACTGTAATGATCTTAATCTGAGCAAACTGCAGGTTATGGTGGTAACTTTAGTGTTAATTACTATTGCTGCCTGATCAATAGCGTCAGCTGTCAGACATTGACCGTCACTCCTCAGGTTGTTGGTTTGAGACCCGCCTCAGCCTTTTGAAAGTTGCGATTATTCTTAACCAGCTGATTGCATCGACTCATTGACTCTTCAGCAATCCCTCACACTAAGCATGCTTGTAGCGACAGTGGAGAGGAAAAACTCCCTTTGAACAGGAAGAAACCTCCAGCAGAACCAGGCTCAGTGTGAGCGGCCATCTGCTGAGGCCCACTGGGGTTCAAGGAGACAGAAGCAGACATAGAAAAAGAAGCATAGATACAAAAGGCAACTGTCAACCAGCTCCACAGGCGGCCCCGTCCAGGAAACACACAGCCAGGCAGACGAGCTCCGAGCCAGCTCCCATGTCAGAGGATGAAGAGAGCACATCCAGTTAGTCACAGTCAGAGAAACAGGACTAC